CCACATACTAAAGTCAATCGATCTCCCCTCAGGGTCAAAGCGAAGTACTCGGGAGGTCGCCATAGGGGTTGAAAGTGAGAGAGCGCGGCTGCCAGCTGCGGGAGGGTGAGACAGTCAGCGGCGTGTGGGCAAGCGCGCAGGCGTGCAGGCGGGCAGGCGGCGCGGCATGCAGACAGGCGGGCGGCGCGGCGCGCTGGCTGGCGGGCGGGCGGCGCGGTGTGCTGGCGTGCGCGCCGGCGTGGCGCGCTGGCGTGCGCGCTGGCGTGCGCGTTGGCGTGACGCGCTGGCGGGCGCGCTGGCGGGGCGCACTGGCATGCGCGCTGGCGGGGCGCGCTGGCGGGGCGCGCTGGCGTGCGCGCTGGCGTGGGCGCAGGCGGGCCTGCTGGCTAGGGCGCTGGCGGGCCTGCTGGCTAGGGCGCAGGCGGGCCTGCTGGCTAGGGCGCTGGCGGGCCTGCTGGCTAGGGCGCTGGCGGGCCTGCTGGCTAGCGCGCTTAGGGCAGACGGGGGGGGGGGGGGGGCACGCCAAGGCTAGTGACAGCCGAAGTCTAGGAACGGTGGAGACTAGGTGTGGCCTAGGAACGGCGAACCTACTGCTGATACCATCTCAGTAAGTGAAAAACAGCGGAATGGTTGGATTGATTGGGTTGGGGTACAAATACTTAACCCTAACTGTTTGTACCCCATATAGCATAACTGTTATGAATCAACTTGCAGAGTGCGCAGTAAAGCGAATAACGAGAATGGAAATTACTGAATTACTGAATGAAGAAACAATGAAGTAGGGAGGCTTAAATAGGGGACAAGCTAGCTAGGCGGGGGGGGGGATGGGATGGCTCGGTGATGGTTGCGATTGGAGCGGAGGCCGACTCGGGGGTGGTTCGGTGCGACGAAATAGGCAAGACGGGTTCGTCGCGTGACCCTCGGGATGGCCTCGCTAACGAGTGCCTCAGTAAGGATTTGTAAATCCTTACACTCTCCCACCTTCTAAATAAGGCAGCCCTGTACTGAAACAGGCCCCACACTAGCGAGGATTCCGTAGATCTCCTCTTCAGCTGAATCCGACGGCCGAAATGTCTTTGAGAATATTTTTGAAAAGGTTGGAATGTAGGCCGTTGATGAAGTCCGATTTCGATCTGACGGTCGACGATGATCTATCCCAAAATGAAGTGAAGGTTGGAATGTGGGCCGTTGATGAAGTCCGATTTCGATCTGACGGTCGACGATGATCTATCCCAAAATGAAGTGAAGGTTGGAATGTGGGCCGTAGATCGAGCAGGTGCAGATCTGACGGTCGAAGACTGACGCGAGATTGGAGGGAACCTGCTGACGCGAAAATCAATCGCGATGTAGCAGAAACCGTTGATCATGTCGGTGCGATCGCGATCGTCCGTCGTGCTGACACAAACTGACAAAGTTAGAAAGGACCGAGAAAAACGCCAAGGAAAGAACAGTGCAAAGCACTTTCTCCCCCCCTCCAAGAAAGCACACCAGAAAATGTTTCACAGCTGCGCCGAGATGAAAACCAACAAAACCGGGTGTTAAGTCCCAATGAGAAATGCGTAGAGCGTAGAGGGCCTGGTGAAATTGCGTCGGTGTGGAAAAATCGATGACGAAACCAGGTGTGACGTGCCCAAAAAGTCTTCAAGGGCGAACCCGTGTAAGTAGACCAGAAACCGTGATGAAAAATCGCCGTTGCTCGAACTATCGAAATTTGTCGTGATTCCACTGAGAGTTAAAGGGCAGGGATGAAATTTTACAGCTGTCGCTCCCCCCCCCCGTCACTGTTGTTGCCGCCTTCTTCAGTTCGTCGTAAGTCGTTCGTACCCCTTGAAAACTCCGTGTAGTTCCTGCGGTGTTGCCCTGCGTAAATGTCGTGCGCGTTTAACCAAACGCCGAATTCTCCTCCGAAATTGTTGGCGCTTCTCGCCGTAAAACCTGTGCAGTCCCGCGTAAACTTCGAAAAAGTCGTTTGAACACAGCCCCGAAAATCCGCAGATGCAGGTGCAGTTCTCCTCCGAAAATCTCGGTCGTTCTATAGCCGCCCACCCGGTCACCATCAGTTTCCTTCGGTTACCCGACCCCAGCGTGTGGGTTCAATCGAGAACCGGGGACTGCCCTGGGTCTTCCGAGACCGAATTTCACGGAACCTAGTGGCATCAACGCCGTTGACCCCGTCGTCGAAACTGCTCCCGCCGATGAAGTTTAACTGAAAACCACGCAAAACTCCCACTGGCGCTTTGCAGATGTTTCACCCATCGCTCGTCGCCGGTAGGTAAATCCGAAAACTTCGGCTGCTCCCACGCTCCCTTTTACTGAAGAATTTCCCGCGGTGTGCGTTTAAACACCAGTGGGTTCTAGGTATCCCCGCCGCTGTGTTTCTTGCCAGGCGACTTAAAAGTGACCCTTCAGGCGAAGTCCCCCAACGGCTCAACCGCACTCCAAGAAGCGAAGAAACACCCTCAGCTTCAACTCTTTTTTTTTTTTGTAGGAAAAGTCACCCGAAAATCATGGTTGAGGCAGCAGTCCCGAAGTTATTCTCCGCCGTGTAGCCCCGACGTTTCCGCCGTTAACCCTGGTACTCCGATGTTCACCCATCTTCATACCCGTCGAAACCACTTAGCGAATCCCCGGTATCATTGGCAATGTACCGCTCGCCGCGCCTCCATGTAACAATATCAAACCTTTTCGGGGGTCTACCGAATAGACTCCGAAATTCGCGGTGGATTGGTGCACGGGCTCAACCTCTCACTCAAGTGATCTGCTGGATCACCCACAACTTTCCCTCCGTCTTCATTTTTTTCGTATTCACCCCCCGACAATTCCGCTTCCCGCCGTTCACCCAGCGTCCGCTTTTGTCGGATGAGGTATCGTCGTTGTTGCCCGCGCGAACTCGGCCCCGGTGGAGAGGCAAAAACTATCGGAGTCGGGGTAGCCTTAGTTAAAAGGAAACTATCGCCCAACCGTTTTGCAGCCCGCCGTGCCTATCACGCCACTAAAATTTCACAGCTTCCCGGTCTCAGCTTCGCCGCTGCGCCGTCACCTCGTGTGTAGACGCCCGGGTCAGGAGAAACCTGTAAACTGCACCGATGTTATCCTCGCAGCTCCCCGACTTTTTCGCGTGCCGTTCACCCAGCCCGCTTTTGTCGGAGTAGAACAGTGCCGCGAACTCCATTTTTTTTGTATTTTCTGTACAGCTGTCGAACGAGCACCAATCCAGGTGCCTTTAACCAGCACAGGGTAGGCACGTGTTCACCCCCGTTATTCGGCCAAGTAGGTTGACTGCATGAGTCAGAACCAGGACTTGGTGGGGATGGTGAGGTTCGGGCGAAGTAGGGCCGCAGATCGATTCCACCGGCTTTTAATCTGCTCCCCACGACGTTCTTCAACCCCCGCTTAGCCGTTGGGCCGTTTCTTCCCGAGTGTCCCGGCAGCCTGTACCGACCCCTCCGAAATTGTCGGGCGGTACCTTGGACACCGTTTAATCGTGGGATGTCAGCAGCTGTCCCCGAAAACAACGTCCCTGGTCAGGAGAAACTGTTCTCGATACTGCCGGCCAGCTTGCAACAACACCAGGTACGCAGTGTCGCCGAGTTGATTCGAGGTGTACCTGCCCCGATTTCCCTCGTCGCCTGCGTCCCACTTCCTCGTAAGTGCGATTTAGCCACCGCGTTTTCCGTTGCAGCCCGTAAGTGTCAGCAGGTATGAAGCCCCGTCTGTCCACGAGCACTCCTGCCGAAAATTGCTGATGACGCGCCCGCCAATGCAGTAAAAGCCGCCGCACTTAACAGGTCGGGCGGGACGGCAGTTGACTCCCGCTAAGTCGGGCAGCCTAGTGTCGTCTCTCCTCGCCACCGACATTTCCGGACGCAAAACTCCATTTGCGCCTGGCGAGTTCCCCAGCCGACTTTTTCTCCACAGTAGCTCCGAAATTATCGCCATAGTGACGCACGTCCCTTGTCGCCAGCTGCCGAGCCACACTCCGTGAGTCACGCGCGCAAGATGACGACGAGCCACCGTTGTCACTTGCCGCATGGAGGCAACGGTCGATCGCGAGGCAAGGATCTGGCGGTGCCGAAGGAGTACCCGTAAAACTATGGCCGCGAGGAGCAACTAACTCGTTCTCCTGGCCGGCCTACGTAACTCCTGGACCCCAAGACATCCTTCCTCGTCCCCCCCCCCCCCCCCCGAGGGGTATTACACTCTAAAAAGCGGGGTGAGCTAGGAAAGTAGCTCTGATACCAGGTGTTATGAATCAACTTGCAGAGTGCGCAGTAAAACGAATAACGAGAATGGAAATTACTGAATTACTGAATGAAGAAACAATGAAGTAGGGAGGCCTAAATAGGGGACAAGCTAGCTAGGTGGGGGGTTCGGGATGGGATGGCTCGGTGATGGTTGCGATTGGAGCGGAGGCCGACTCGGGGGTGGTTCGGTGCGACGAAATAGGCAAGACGGGTTCGTCGCGTGACCCTCGGGATGGCCTCGCTAACGAGTGCCTCAGTAAGGATTTGTAAATCCTTACAATAACCCACTAGAGGCTATAACATTTGGCATTTTAGGTGTCTTATAAGTCTTATAAATGGAAACTTTTCAAACTACTTCGATTTTTTTTCACACATCTTGAAAAGAGTTTCTCATAATGACGGTGGATGTTGCGAAGCTGCCACTTCGTCAACCATTGTTCGGGAAGCCACGTCATGGAAAATACATGCAGGGGTAAATTTGAAAGTACCTGAGTCAGCACGTGGAAGAATTCGCACATCGCAGGGGTAAGAACATACGCGGTATTTCAAGTTTCACAATAATGTATTGCAGTTTCGATTATAAGACACATATGTCTTATAATGAGGCTAGCCTGCCTGTTTATAAGAGACACCCGGACAATAGACAACCCCTGTCTACTATTCAACACTGTCTACTATCCGGGCGATGACGGTACATTATCTCTATAATCACATATGTACACTAATCAACAGCAAGCAAATCGAACAACAAAACAATCACCTCTTAGCAGGGCTGGAGAACTCGACGGCTCGCACCAGCTCGTGCACGCTGACAGGCTTGGAAATGAAGCCATCCATGCCCGCCTGCATGCACATGGCACGGTCAGTTTCGAGCACATTGGCTGTCATTGCAAATATCTTGGGCCTCTGGCTTGGCGGCCACATCTGCGTTATGCGCTGCGTTGCCTCGATTCCATCCATCACTGGCATCTGGTCAAAGGGAGATCACCAGGGGGAAAGGGGAAGGAATGGTGCCTTTGCAGAGTGAGAGGTATAGAATAAATGCGTCTCAGAATTGGTGTACCGATTTGGGCTGAAACTAATTACAAAACAGACCTCTCTTATTCGACACACGCACGCACACACTCATGCACACATGCACACACACAGATACACACACAGATACACACACAGACACACACACAGACACACACACACACACAGACACACACACACACAGACACAGACACACACACACACACACACACACACACACACACACACACACACACACACACACACACACACACACACACACACACACACACACACACACACACACACACACACACACACACACACACACACACACACACACACACACACACACACACACACACACACACACACACACACGCGCGAACACACACACACACACACACACACACACAGCGCATGCAGCTCCCCTGCCCCATTGACTTATGAGGCATCTCAAATACAGCTAAAGGAAAAGGTGCAGAGCGGTACCTACCTGAACGTCCATGAAGACGAGGTCAAAGGAGTCTTTCTGCAGCGCCTGGAGCACCTCCGCCCCGTTGACTGCCACGTGGCATGTGTAACCCATGCGCCCCAGCATCTTGGTTGCCACCTTCTGATTCACCAGATTGTCCTCGCTGAATGGTCATGTAGAGTCACAGGCAGACATGTGCACATAGGGTCATACAGGAATTTGAGTCGACTATGTACCCCATCTTGGTCGCCACCTTCTGATTCACCAGGTTGTCCTCGCTATAGAGTGATGCAGGCTTGCAGGCACATGCGCATGCAGTCATGCAGGAGGGTGTACAGGAACAGGTCATGCATAATTTAGCACATGATGTAAGTGGAGTGGTGAGTGCGGGCATTGGCATTTTGGTGCTGATTAGCCAACCTGCTGTTCGCGCAGAAGCACAGAATCACAGAGGACAGGAACTGGAGCGCAGGAGTGATAAGGGTTATGATTTAGTTGCATCGAATTGAAAGCATGAAAGAGAAAGCAAGGCCATGGAGGTGAGAGAGAGGGACTGCAGCAGGGTTCGTACGCGAGGAGAATCTTGAGAGGGTGCTGCTGCGCCAGCCCTGACTGGAACCCTGCTGCATCCACACATGCTTTTGCTGCCGCCCGTCCCCGCGCTCTTCTCCCCCCACCAAATGATCCTGCCGCCCCTCCTGCCGCCCCTCCTGTCACCCCTCCTGCTGTCCCGCCTGCTGCTGTGGTTTCTGCCATCCCGCCTCCGGCTGATGCTACACTTGTTGGCACTGCAGCGACCGGGGATGGCTCGTCTGGAGCAGCAGGTGTTGCTCTTTCTGTTGCTCCTGCCACTGCCACACTTGGCGCTGCTTCTGCTGCTCCTGCTCCTTCTGCTGCCGCTGCCGCTGGTCCTTTCGCTATTCCAGTTTGTGCCTTTCCACCCACACTGGCTTCTGCTACGAACTCTCCTCCTCTGCTACTCATTACCGCAGCAGCCTCTGCTCTGGTTGCAGCCCAGCCTGCCAACACAGCTTCGGCACATGCCTCCGAACCAGTCACACGCTTGGAAGAGCCAGGAGCCAGGAGATTCAGCAGTGAATCCCCGAGACTTGTGCGGCAGCAGCCCGAGCTGCCTTCTCCACTGCCGTGGTTACCACAGTGCGTGTGGTTACCGCACTGAATCGGGTTAACACAGTGCGTGTGGTTACCGCACTGGATCGGGTTACCACAGTTACTACGTGAGCATTCGTTGCTGCTCACACTGACTGCACGAGCCAGTCCTCTGGTGGAGCGTCCGTGAGGGGAGCGAGTGGGGAGTGAGGGGAGGCGAGAAGAGGGAGCGAGAGGAGGCGGGGAGAGAAGCTCACAGACAAGGCGGTTGATGGCGGTTTGGAGGATGGGGTAGGTGAGAACAGCCACGTGGCTGTCTGGGATTGGACGGAAGTCCTGCCTGAAGCCATAGGGTACGAGGAGAATGACCTTGGCAGGGCTGGTGGCGCTGTGGAGGACATTTGGGTCTGCTGGGAGGAGCATTTCTTCACACGCTGCTGGTGCAGGATTAACCGTGAGCTGTTCCGGTGATGCTCTGGTGATTTCGGTGGTCTTAGCTGCTGCTGCTGATGCTACTTCCTCTGCGAGTGCTGCTGCTGGTCCCAGTGCTGCTGCAGTGCCTGAGGGTGCGGGTGCAGGGGGAATCCAGGGCAGCCCAGCATCCACAACAAACAGGTCAAACGCACTGGGGGACACCAGTGCTGTAGCCGCGGGGGACACCAGTGCTGTAGCCCCTGCTGCTGCTGATGCTGTAGCCCCTGCTGCTGCTGCTGCTGTAGCCCCTGCTGCTGCTGATGCTGTAGCCCCTGCTGCTGCTGATGCTGTAGCCCCTGCTGCTGCTGCTGCTGTAGCCCCTGCTGCTGCTGATGCTGTAGCCCCTGCTGCTGCTGATGCTGTAGCCCCTGCTGCTGCTGCTGCTGTAGCCCCTGCTGCTGCTGATGCTGTAGCCGCTGCTGATGCTGTAGCCGCTGCTGCTGCTGTAGCCGCTGCTGCTGCTGTAGCCGCTGCTGCTGCTGTAGTAGCTGCTGCTGCTGCTGCTGCTGCTGCTGCTGCTGCTGCTGCTGCTGCTGCTGCTGCTGCCATGCCTGCTGCTGCTCCTTGCATGCGTGAGGGTGCTGCCATGTCGCATTGTGGCTGCACGGAAGGGCTCTTACTCGAACACACCAGATCTCTTGTGTGAGATGGAGATGAAGGGGGTGAAGATGAGGGGGATAGAGATGTGGGGGGGAGTGACAAGGGTAGTGACGAGGGTAGCGACGAGGATACGAGAGAGAGCACAAATTCCCTCCTTTCTGTGCGACCCTCATCCCCACCACTGCCACCGCGTCTCCCTTCCTCCCCACTCATGACACCACACCCTTCCCCCAGCACCCGCACACCTTCCTCTATCACCCGATCCGCCTCCTCCCCACTGCTCGCCTCACCCACTCTAAACCCAAGGGATGCCAGGTGTCGGCACACCATTCGCCGAGTGCTTGCATGGGGCAGCACCACCAGTGCGCTCCTCCCCTCTGCTCTCCTCCTCGCTCTCTCCCAACCAGAAACTGCTGCTTCCACCTCACTCACTCCCTCACTCACTCCCTCACACACTCCCTCACAGACTCCCTCCCCCTCTCCCTCCCCCACTCCCTCCCCCACTCCCTCCCACCTGTCACTCTCCCTTCCCCTCACCAAAACCTCCTCCTCACTCCTCACATCTCCCGTCGCCGTTTCACCTGGGTCCCCTCGCTCCTCTTCTGTTCCACCTTTCCTCCTCTCCATCCGCCCCCCTAGAGGAGCGCACCCCTCCCCTCCACCCCTGCAACCGCTGCGACCACCACTGCTGCTACAACGGGTTTGACTGGCGCAGTTACCATCCTGTCTTCCACTGCCTATATCTGCTGCCCTCCCGCTCTCGCCCTCTGTGTTCCTCAGTGTCTCCCCTTCACTAGTCAAAGCCCCATCCTTCCAGCAGCAGCAGCAGCAGCAGCAGCAGCAGCACTGGCAGGAAGAGCTGCAGCAACAGGCAGCGGCTGCATATCGCTTGCCTTGACTTGGCCCTTGCGTGACTGCTGCAGCTACAAGCGGCTCGACTTCCCTCTTGCGCTTTCGCAACAGGCCAGCAGCCGCAGCAGACGTAAGCGGAACAGCTGAAGCAGCAGCGGCAGCAGGTGAAGGAAGAGATGGATGAAGAGCAGGGACAGCAGACGAAGCAGCAGTAGCAGCATCAGCTTCATATCCTTGGGACAGCAGACCAAGCGAAGCAGCAGCAGCAGAAGCAGGAGGAGCAGGCGACTTCTGCTGCGCCTCAACAGGAGTGTGGAGGTCAAAGGGCAGGGCGGGCGCTGTGATGTAGAACCTGAAGGTAGACCCGCGCCCCTGCCCGTCGCTCTCTGCCCAGATGCGCCCTCCCAGCATGCCCACCAGCTGGTGTGATATCGCCAGGCCCAGCCCTGTGCCTCCGTACTTGCGCGTCATGCTCGCATCCACCTGCCGCATGCACACAGAGGAGAACGGAACTCAAAGCGAGTGAGGTTTGAGAGGTTGGTTTAGGTGAGGTTTGAAGGAGTGTGGGATGAGAGCGGATGGTGACTCGGGCGAAAGGCAGCTGAGAAAAACATGTGGACGAGGTAGCTGCCAGAGCAGAGCAGGCAATGTTAAAATCACATTTGAGAATTCTCAAAAACATGTGGACGAGGTAGCAGCCAGAGCAGGCGAATTCAGACAGGCGAGCCTTACAAATAGTGAAATGGGTGTGGTGACAAGAGAAAGCACACACACCTGGCTGAACGGCTTGAACAGGCGCTTCATTCGCTCCTTGGGAATGCCGATTCCAGTGTCCCGCACACTCACTGCAATGCAGTGCACGCCATGCCTCTCCATGCCCTGCGTCTCCTCCCCTCTCCACCTCCTCCTGCTACTCAGCGCCTTGCCCCACACTGCAAAACCACTGTGTGCAGACTCCCCACTCCCATCCCCAGGACTCATATCTCCGCCCTTGCTCATACCACTAAGTCCCTCCTCCTTTGCCTCATCCTGTTCTTGTTCTTCCTCGTGCATGCCTCCCCTGCTGCCTTCCATGCGCATGTCTCCCCTGCCTCCATCTGTTTGTTGCTTCGCAGTCTCTTTCAGCAGCTCTGGCATGTGCTGCTCGGAGCTCCCAGGCAGCCGGGTGGCAGAGACAGTGACCTCCACCTCGCCCCTCTCTGTGAACTTAATGGCGTTCGATATCAGGTTCACAAGAATCTGACACGGGTAAGAGGGGAAGGGGAATAAGGAGGAGCGGATTTATGCGAAACACGTGAAATCGACTGGCTGAACGTGGAATTGATGACATTGGATACGAAATTGGTGGCGTTAATAGGCACAGAAACAACAGCACCGGACATGAATCTGATGCCATTGAGTATGGAATCGACGGCAAGGGTACGAACATGTAAAAGACAAGATCTTAAAAAACGACTCAGTGTGATGTGTTCTCCTCCCCTGTACCTGTCTGAGTCTCGCGGAGTCGCTTCTGACCACCCGGGGCACATTGGGCTCCACAAAGCTCACCACAGCCACACCTTTTTCCATGGCTCGGATCTGAATGTGCAATCCCAGGGAAGAGGAGCAATCCGAGGGAAGAGGAGCAATCCGAGAAAAGTGGAGCAATCAGACCAGCTAAAGGATGGTCGAATATACAATCAGAGCAGCTAAAGGAGCAATCAGAGGGTCTGAAGCTCACCACCACACCTTTCTCCATGGCAGCGGCAGAGGTCAAAGTCATGGTGCTCGAGGTCGAGCAGGGAGGCGTGAAGAAAGCACGTACGAGGTATATAAGAGGAGTGAAAGATGCAGGAAATGGGCACACAGAAAAAACGCACATGAGGAGCTTACAGCAAGCAGGGAGACGGCGTCCTCGAGGCAGCGGCAGAGGTCAAAGTCGCGGTGCTCGAGCTCCAGCTCCCCCGCCTCGATCTTGGAGAGGTCGAGGATGTCGTTGAGGATGGTGAGCAGTGCATCCCCGCTGCTCCGGATGGTGTCCACAAACTGCCTCTGCTCCTCCTGTAGTGGTGTCGATAGCAGCAGCCGTGTCATGCCTGGTTCAGAAGAGAGCACGGGTGGCACAGAGCAGACAGGGGCAACAGGCAGGGCACGTTGAGGATGGTGAGCAGTGCATCCCCGCTGCTCCGGATGGTGTCCACCAACTGCCTCTGCTCCTCCTGTAGCGGCGTTGATAACAGCAGGCGTGTCATGCCTGGTTCAGGGAATGGGAGGGAGAAGGGGAGAGGGCGGGCGGGAGAAGGAGTCGTGATTCCAGCACGCAACGCCATGAGAAGGAGGGCTCGTGGACGCCATGAGAAGGAGGGCTCGTGGACGCCATGAGAAGGAGGGCTCGTGGACGCCATGAGAAGGAGGGCTCGTGGACGCCATGAGAAGGAGGGCTCGTGGACGCCATGAGAAGGAGGGCTCGTGGACGCCAGCACGCAGCTCTGGAGCCAATGGGATGGCATTCCAACCAGCACGCACACCCAACCCTGCCACTCACCAAGCACCCCATTCATGGGCGTGCACATCTCATGGCTCATACACACCAGAAAGACACCGGCGGCACTTCAGTCTATTACCCAACCCAGCCTCCAGGACCAATTAGCCGACTCTGCCTCTACCTGCGCCTCTCTGAGTTACCCCACCCGCTGCTCCACCTGAGCGCACCCACAGAGCACCCTCCCACTCACCAAGAACCCCATTCATGGGAGTGCGGATCTCATGGCTCATGGACGCCAGGAACCGGCTCTTGAGCCGATTCGCCGACTCGGCCTCCACGCGTGCCTCTCTCAGCTGGCCCACCAGCCGCTCCAGCGCGGTCGACTGCTGCGAGATCTTATCCCGCGACGCCTCCAGGTCCCGGATGCAGCGCCGCAGGTGGTCCTGCGCTCTTAGGTGCTGCTCAATCTCCGATTTCAGCGCCTCATTGGACCGCATCAGCTGCTCCGTTCTCTCCTCCACACGCTGCTCCAAGGCCGCATTCAGCGCGCGAATCTCCCCTTCTTTGCGCTTCAGGTCACTTATGTCGGCTGAGACGCCGATCACGCCGACGAGTTTCCCTTCGGAGTCGAGGATGGGAGTGTCGGTGACCATGGCGTGGAAGGGCGAGCCATCGCGGCGCCGCACGAGGAACTCGCCGCGCCACACGTCCCCGCGGGTGAGCGCGGCGAAGATCTCCCCCGCCTGCTGCACCGTGGTGTCGGCGGGGGTGACCTCGATTATGCTCCGCCCCACCGCCTCCTCCTCCCGCCACCCGTACATCGCCTCCGCTGCCTTGTTCCTGGGGGTGGCGGTTGAGGGGGAGCGTGGAAGAGGTGAAAGGGAGAGGGGCAAGGTGATGAGAGGGATGAAGATCGGATCCGTACTGGTGCTGTGCTGTCCGCTGTGCCGTGCTGTCACCTGCGCCATGCTGTCGGCTGCGCCGTGCTGTCAGCTGTGCTGCACTGTCCGCTGTGCCGTGCTGTCAGCCATGGTTCATCACTCACCAGTAGGTGATGGTGCCTGCGAGGTCCGTGCAGATGACGGACTGCCCCACCGACGCCAGCAGATCCTTTTGGAACGCCACTGCCACAGGGAGGGAGATGGGGGGGGGACGGAGGAGACGGAGGAGATTTGGGAGGGAGATGGGGGGGAGTTGGTGGGTGATGAGGGATGGAGATAGGGAAAGATACGGGGTGACAGGGGAGAAAATATTCGAGAGGGGGAATGGATTTCAGGGGAGAGAGGGGAAATATGCGGTCTGCATACAGACGGTAGGAGACTTTACCTGTCCATCACCTACCATGAACCACACCATACCTTCCTGCCGGTACTTCTCGTGGTCCGCCTGCAGGCTCCGCAGTTCCGCCACCAGCTCCGCGCGCGTCATTGCGCACAGCGTCTCCGCCGTCGCCAGGGGGCGCGCGCCATGCGGCACCACCTGGAACTGCATCCCCGGCGCGTTCTTCCGCGGCGCAGGCTCCGCGAGCACTGCGGGTTCCGCACCCGCAAGCTCTGCAGGTTCCGCAACCACTGCGGGTTCTGCAAGCTCTGCAGGTTCCGCAACCACTACGGGTTCCGCCGAATCAGATTTCGTGCTTATCCCCGCAAAACACGCCGCCGCCGCAGCGGCCGCGCTTGTACCGTTCCCCTCGGCCGGAGCAACGGCGGGGCTTGCGGCGGTGGGAGTATTAGGCGCGGTGACAACAGCAGAGTCGACTCCGAGTCTGGACACGATCAAAGGCGGTTGTTGCGCGTCGTGGCGCAGCGACAGGTGTTCCGGGAGGAGCGGAGAGCGCGGATTCGGCAGAATAGATTCGTCCGGATCAAAGGGGTTCGTCAGCACTCGCCGGACGGCTTCGTCATACTCTTTGTGACTAAGAAGTGGAAAGCTGTTATCCTGTGACGCGGAAGGGTGTGGCTCAGGACGAGCAGTGCTCGTCACTAGTATTGCCGCCGGATCTGTTGAAAGAATAGGATCTGGTGAAATATTCTTAGCCTTAACTTTTTGTGAGTTGGTTACTGAGTCGGTACAGAATGGCGGCGTCGCCTCTTCGCCGCCGCAGCAGCCGGCGCTGTTAATTAAGTCAAGTGTGCCGCCACTGACAAGGTCAGGTGTGCTAATGACTGGTCGCAATCTCTGACTTGCTGACGTGGCTCCAATCTCCGGCTGTGACTCGTGGAGCTCGTGGCGCTCGTGGCCTTGGGAATGACACTCGTTTCTTTCCGCGGGCGACTCGCATTCATTTCCACTACGTTCCAGTGGAACTGACGACACGGCTACTAATAAGGACGAACTACCTGCTGCTTCTGGTTGGCAGCGCTCGCTCGCATGGGAAGACGTGTCATGGATAAATAAGGGACAAGCTGCAGACACCTTGGCTTGGTGTGCTGACATGGTGGTAGTAAGAGAGAGCAGTGCGGGCTCTTACTCACTGCCGCATGAAACGGGAACGGTACGGACGAGGTCTGCAGCAAGCGAGTCAGCGACGATGTCGATGAACATGTGGGGGTGAGCAGTCAGTCAGTAGTCACCTAGGGATCACTCCACTGGGACGAACTAGTGCACAGCAGACTGGTGGTGGTGGGGAGGTGAAGTGATGAGCCAAGCGCGGTAGTGCAAGCAGTAACGCTTCCACCGCGTTATTCAGGCCTTTCAGTAAGTCGTGACAACGAAGCATCTTCGCTGCACTGCCAATGGGATGAGTCTCCCTGTCCTCTGTACATGACTCGTTAATTTCTCTCGCTGTTCCGCCGCGTGTTTGCACCCTTGCTTCGATCGAAACGCCAAGTCGTATTCGCTGGTTCGTATTGGGAGGGACGAGGGCGGTGAATCGGTGATGGGCGACGCTACCAGCAGCACGGACTGCTCTGGAAATCTCGAACCGATCTGTCTGTAGCGCATCACTGTGTGTAATGAACATCACTCCCCCAGACTCCACTCCCACCCAACTTCCAGACAGCTTTGACGTTTGATGGTTCTTTCTCCTTAGCCAGAGAAGACGAAAAGCTGAAATGAAAAAATCCAAGTGGAGGGCAGTGTGCCTCTCCAACGTGACTGACGCACACACAACCAGCCGAGGGGAAGGAATCCATGGCGGAGCTGTCTCGTTTGAAAAACTGATTACAGCGCCGATGCCTTTTTACAGCGAGCAGGTGCCTGATGCCTCCTCGTCATTGGCGGCGCTATTGAATCTCGGCAACCGCTTGGGTCCACGTGGTTGCCTTCTGCAATTGACACGGGCAGTACGCGCACAAAACTTCTGCATTGTCATTGGGACCACGAAATGTACACTTCAATAAAAAACTCGTAGCCCCAAGTAACTTTTAATATGAGAATCTGTTACGAGTGCAATTGAGTGAACGAACGAGAATTGCACTATCGAAGCAAGAGTACAATGAGCGAAGGTATGAGCGAATAATATATAGCGAAACTACAGTGGTAACGGTAATGGACTGTGGTTGTCGCGCGACGGGCCTGAGACTGAGGTTGGGAAAAGTGTCGAAGCAGAGGCCCGGAGCGCGGGTTACCCGCCGAGCCGTGAGGTCGGGGTGCGACGTGCGAAGGTGGCGGGCGGATTGTCGATGCGAGGATTGCGAGTGGTAACGGTGCTGACTGTGGTGCTACAGTGATGTACGCGTTGAGCAGGGACGCGAAGTAAGGAAAAAGAGATTTTCCTTACACTACCCCCCCCCTTAAGGAGGTCCTCCTTACGAAAGTGCGTGTACATCCCTGAAATTCCGGCTGCGCAGATACTCGGTGAGGACGGGGTGGTTTTCGATTCTGTCTAGGGGAACCCAATTGTCTTCGGTGGGTGTACGGTCCTTCCAGCGGAGTAAGAACTCGATCATTCGGGCTCCTCGAGGGTCGCGAACTCTGTGACTCAGGATTTTCTCGGGGGGTGATGATTGGTTCAGTCGGTGGTCTTGTCATGCTGGCTGGGCGATTGCGTGGCAGTTGGCTCGTGGACGGGACGTAAGGGCGAAGCAGGCTGACGTGGAACGAGGGGCTGACGTACCAGTCAGCAGGGAGGAGGAGGTGGGCGGTGACAGGTGTAAGCATGTGGCTTATGCGAAATGGCCCGCAGTATCGGGGGCGGAGTTTCGGGGTGATGGGCAGTCGGAGATTTTGGGTGTCGAGCAAAACTAAGTCGTCGGGCTGGTAAGTGACAGGTCTGCGGTGGCGGTCGGCGTTGCGTTTAGCGATGATGTTAGCTTTTTTAATTGCGTCTGCTGCCCTGGTCCGTGCTGCTTGCAAGATTTCGGCGAACTGTTGCGCGCGTGGAACCGGGTTGTCGGGATTCGGGGTCATGGGTACTGTTGGGTCTTGTCCGTAATTCAGGTAAAACGGTGACTGTTGGGTCGTGGCGGATGGGGCGTTGTTGTATGCGAATTCGATGAGTGGCAGTTGCTGTTCCCACGTGTTTGGGTCGTCGCACGTGGCCCGGATGAGCTGTTCCATGGTCTGATTTGTCCGTTCTGTCTGTCCGTCTGTTTCGGGGTGGTACGATGAACTAAACTGTAGTCGCGTGCCGAACTGCTGCCACAGGTTCTGCCAGAAGTTGCTGGTGAATTTCGTGTCTCTGTCGCTGATGATTGATGCTGGTATCCCGTGCAGTCGAACGACGGTAGAGATGAAGAGGCGGGCTGTTTCTTCGGCTGTGATTGATTTTTTGCAGGCTGCGAAGTGTGCCATTTTCGTCAGTCGATCGACGACGACCAGGATCGCGTCATTTCCACTCGCCCCGGCCGGTAACCCCGTGACGAAGTCCATCGTCACCTGCTGCCAAGCACGCTCTGGAGGTGGGATTGGCTGCAACTGTCCCGCCGGCCGCTTCCGTGTTGACTTCATGATCTGGCAAGAGGGACACGATGCCACGTGTCGCTGCACGTCGGTCAACATTTCGGGCCAGTAATAATACCGCTGCAGCTGCTGCCGTGTTTTCTCTATCCCGAAATGTCCCGAGGTAACCCCGTCGTGTGCCTCCTGTAATAGTAATTCCCGTAGCAGTGTGTACCCTGGTGCCCAGATGCGGTCGGTCCAGGCTTTTACGTAATAGACTCCCTTGGCTGCTGCGAACTGCTGCGAATTTCCTCCTGTGAAGAATGGGTCCGTTTGATATCCGTGGGTAAATAATCCTGTCAGTAGCGGGCTGGTCTGGGCGAGTAGTATCGCGTGGATCTGGGCAGTGGGGCGGGTCAGTGCGTCGGCTATGTTCGAGGCTCCTTTTTTATAGGTGACTGTGTAGTGGAAGTTTGACTCGAGGAAATCGAGCCACCGAATCTGTCGTGGGTTGAGGTGGGGCTGTGCGCGGAGGTACTGTAGTGATCGGTGGTCTGTCCGTACTGTCACGTCTGCGCCGGTCAAGTAGCAGCGCCACACTTTGAACGCATGCACGATCGCGAGCATTTCGCGGTCGTGTATCGGGTAATTTCACTCGGGCGGATGCAGTTTTCGTGACTCGTATGCGATGGGCTGTAGGCCGTTGCCGAAGTCCTGTAGCAGTACGGCTCCAATGGCGATGTCGCTTGCGTCTGTAACAAGGGTGGTGTGGGTCGGCGATGCGCAGGACGGGCGGTGAACAGAGAACATTTTTCAGGGCAGAGAAGGCAGCATGCTCTTTCTCCCCCCACGTAAAAACGACCCCCTTTCGCAGTAAATCCGTCAGCGGGGCAGTCAACTGTGCCATGTCGGGGACGAACCGACGAACATAATTAACGAACCCTAAAAAACTCTGCAGTTCTGTGATGTTCGTCGGGGGACGCCACGCTTTTACCATATCCAGCTTCTTTGGGTCGATTTCAACTCCAGCCTCCGAAATAACGTGCCCAAAAAATTCTAGTCTGTCCCGAAAAAACTCGCACTTAGAGCCCTTGGTTAGTAACCGATGTTCCTCTAAAACTTTAAATACTGCTTCGAGATCCGCTAAATGCTGCTGCTTGTCGCGACTGTAGACGAGGATGTCGTCGAGGTAAACTATCACTGTGAGAGTACTGAGAAGAAACAAGGAATGAAATGACTAAGGGAAAGTTGGGTACAAAATGCAAACCCTAGAGAACTGTACCCCATATGTGCTACCCCACTATAGCCTACAGTAGCTCTGTCATATAAATCTGACACACCCCCATAGGCAAAGTGGGGGAGAACAAGGGGTCACAAGACCAGTCAAGCAAAGCAAAGCAAGCTCAGGGTGGATCACAAAGTCACCACGCATTCCGAGCACAAGTTCAAGGCCACAAGGCCAGTTCACATGCAGGAGTACATATATATATAAAGGCTAGACAAACAAGAGCAGGTATATATATATGTAACAGCACAAGCAAGGTCAAGAGGTGAGCAAGTGAGGCAAGGTAGGCACAAGGCCCAGCTGAGTACAGAAGCGCTGATGGTCACAAGGCGCAAGAGCCTTGGTGAAGATATCAGCAGTGTTGGCCTCAGAGGCCACGTACGCA